GCTCCTCATCACAGAAGCTTTTCTTTACAGAAAATGGAGGATTCTGTGAGCAACTGCGTCAGGATCATGATGGGGCAACATGCAGGGACAACCAAACCAAACTAGAGGGAACTCATGAAAATTGGATCAATGACTGTGGAGCCTACATGGGACTGGACTAGGACCTTTGTATGGCGAGACAGTTTGTGTAGCTTGATCTGTTTGGGAGGTCCCCTGGCGATAGGATCAGAATCCATCTCTGGTGCATGAGCAGGCTTTTTGGAGCCTACTACCTATGATGGGACACCTCGTGCAGCCTTGAGGCAGAGGGAAAGGCTTGGACTTGCCTCTACTGGATGTGCCTCCTCATGGGAGGCCTTGCCTTCTTGTGGGTGGGAGAGGGGTTTGGGATGGGAGGAGGAGGCTGGGGGGCCGGGAGGAGGGAAGAGGGAGATCTTTGATTGGTGTGTAAAATGAATGAAAAAATTTCTTATTTAGAAAAAAGGGAAAGAAAAAAAAGAAAAGGAAATGGAGACCGTCACAGAAAACCAACTGGATGCAAAGTAGAGATCCACAGACCATGGGGATTCCAGCCCCAATACATAAATCCCTTCATCCAAAGCTCAGGGAACATCCCAGAAGAAAGTGTGCAGAAACTGGAAGAGCCAGAACCCCAGGAAGTCTGCAGTGAAACAGTATCTCCTAGAAATGGCTGCTTCTAAGACCAGAATAACAGCAATATCAACAGACATGTTAAAGTAGAAGGAGGAACATTGTGGAGTCCCGCCCCTAAAGAAAAGAACTACACGCAACTATTGTCTGCTGAGAAAGGAGAATTAGCCTCTCCAAGGGATGAGCTCTCTTGGTGTTTGTCCCATACAGAGTGGTCATCCCTGAAGCCATATGCACCCAACCTACAAAAAGGGACTCATCATGATCACTGGTTTGTCTGGAATCCACAGCTGACCACCTGACTACCATATTTTTGCATACGTGTGTGTGCTGAGGAGGGGGGTTACAATGCCCCTTTCTCTTTGTGGACTCATGGCAATATTAACCATAATGCTTCCTGTAACACTAACCCTGACAGCTCCCAAGCCCTGACTCTGACAAATTTTACTATCTCAGCTTTATCTAAAAATAATAGGTTTATATACAAATTACCTGATTTCCTTAATGATTTACGCATTACTGTACATCTAAATAACAGTTGGCCCTTATAAATAATAAATTTTAAAAGGTCAACAATTACTGATTTGATTGGAATCTGTGGCTGACCATTTGACTCACATATTTGTGCACACACCTCTGTGTGTGGGTGCACACATGTGTATGCATGTGTATAATGTATATAATCAAAGATAAAGAGGCTATCAATATGAAAGTGGGGAGCGTGGAAAGAGTTCAAGGAAAGGAAAGGGAAGTGATGTAATTCTATTTCAATTGAAAACGTAATGAAAAGAAAATTCCAGCCAGGAGGTACTGGCTCACACCTTTAATCCCAGCACTCAAGAGGCAGAGGCAGGCAGATCTCTGTGAATTCAATGCTATGGCCAGCTAGAGCTATACAGTGAGATCTGTCTCAATAGAAAGGGTGGGGGACTGGAGAGATGTCTCAACAGTTAAGAGCACTCACTAGTAGTGCTTACAGAGGAACCAAGTTCTGCCTCACCACTACCAAATGGGAGCTCTCAGCCACCTTTAACTCTAATTTTAGGAATTCTGGCGCCCTCTTATGGCCTCTACAGACACTGAAAACATGCAGTGCACTTATATAGCCCCAGACAAAACACACACATAAAAAATAAAAACAAATAAATGTTTTTTAAAAAACAGTAAAGTCAAAATATTGCCCAAGAGTGAAAATATAAACCAAATTAGACAAATGTATGAAAGGAAATAGTAAATAATGTATAATTTTAAAATACTGCTGAAATGAAATTAAAATGACAATCAAGGTAAAAAACAAAACAGAAGGAAGGAGACAGGGAGGGAGGAAGGTTCTGGAGTTCCTTCTTTATGGTTCTGAAAACTGGACACTATCAGTTTAGGGCATGGAGGCAGAATGGCAGGTCTAACCTGTGAACCCAGTCCTGGCTAACTCTGTTGTTCAGTCTGTACACGATGAGAGCCTGATATTTACCACAGTCATCTTCACCCTAGTACTGTTCCTTCTTTGCACACTTGTAGCCTCTGCTGGCCATACTTAAATTTGCGATCTGTGGCCTATACCGCACAGAGAGAAAATATTTGTAAGCCATATATTCAATGAGAGGTTGATATTCAAACACATAAGCAATTTAAATGACTCAACAGCAAGAAACAGCCTGATTTGGGGCTGTATTGTATAATGTAGTATATAGTGTAATATTATTATTAACATGAGAACTTGGGCATAAACAAGAAAGGAAAGCTTATGGTTTAATAGTGATGCGTTTACACATCATATTGACAAGAATCCACTTTTTGTTAACTTGACACAACATAGAGTCACATGGGAAGAGGGAACTTCAATTGAAAAATGCCTCTACTGTATTGGCAAGTCTATGGGACATTTTCTTGATTAATGATTGATGTGGGAGGGCCCAAACTCACTGTGGGAGGGGCCACCCCTGGGCAAATGGCCTTTGGTTATAGAAAAAGGCAAGCTGAGCAAGTCAGGGAGAGCAAGCCAATAAGCAGCAATCCTTCATGGTCTCTGCTTCAGCTCCTATGTTCCTGCCTTGAGTTTCTGTCCTGTTTTCCTTAGTGATTGACTGTGAGCCAGGACATGTAAGCCCAATAAACACTTTGCTCCCCTCCCTCAACAAAAATTAAACATAAGCAAAACATCTGATCATGTATTTCTCTAAGAAAGATATATGAATGGTCAACAGGTGTATGAAGAAAATAACCACTAACACTAATGATTTTGGAAATGCAAAGTAAAATGCCAGTACCACTGCACAGCCATTGGAGTGACTACTACCTAAAGGATGAAGTACTGGTAAAGATGTAGAAAATGGAGAATCCTTGTGCCCAGCACTAGCAAAGATGTGTACTACTACAGCCATTTTGGTCAAAGCATGAACAGTTTCTGTGAACCAGAAGGAAAGCATTTTGAGGTGTAGTCTACAGCCTGTGTAAGGGTTAATCTTGGTTGTCAGTTGGATCTGGAATCAACTAAGAGACGCCCCTCAGAGCAGGTGTATGAGGATGGTTTGGTTTTTTTTAGGGGGGGACAAACTAACCTGGGAGGAAGATCCTTCCCCAGAGTGGGCATCAGTTTCTGTATCTGGGCTGTGGCCCAGATCCAAGGTGTGCAAAAAACTGTAGAAAAAGCTTTTTGTGTTTCATGTTTTCAAACATGAAAAGCTGTTGCATTTTGATGTTTGTCCTTCTTCTTGCTGGTGAGTGTGTTTACCCTGGGACCACCACAGCCACTGCTGCTGCCACTGCTGCTGCCACTGCTGCTGCAACTGCTACTTGTCATCCATCACCAACAGCAAAGCCCACAGTCTTCAGCCTTCCGATGTGGAGTACAGACCAGTGAACCCCCAGAAGTCCTCCAGGCATTCAGGGGCAGACTAGGCCCACATATAAGTGAATGCATACCATTTTTATCTTTCTGGGTCTAGGTTACCTCACTCGGGATGATTTTTTATTTTATAATTTCTGATGCCCTAGAGAATCCTGCCAGTGAATATGCTTATTAGCTTAATTTGATTGCTCCATATAGTGTACAGATGTTAAAACATCACATCATTCTCTATCAATATGCACAATTGTAACTTGGCAAATAAAAACTAGAAATATGTTGTAATCCATAAATATACATAATTATAATTTGTCAGTTTCAAAGCAGCAGATACAAATCAAGCAGTTAATTATGGGAAAAGAAACAAAAATCAAATACCTGTTGGAGATTACTGTTCAATTCAGTAAACATTGTCAGTGTTTCATTGGCTAGGGACTTTTTGGAACTGTTTGTTTCTTTGTTTGCTTATGTCTGTTTTTTTCTGCTTGATGATTAAAATGCTCTAGAATGCTATATAGGCCATATGCCCAGAAACTTGGACGAATCTTAGCTTACTAATTTTACTGAGCATTACAAATTTCCATATAAAATAATAATATTTAAGATAGGCATGGTGGCATGCACACACCCACAATCCCAGCACTTAGGAGGTAGAGGCATAGAACATCAGAATTTTGGGGCTAGCTATATTAGTCTCTCTCTCTCTCTTCTCTCTCTCTCTCTCTCTCTCTCTCTCTCTCTCTCTCTCTCTCTCACACACACACACACACACACACACACACACACACTCACACACACACTATTTAAAAATAGAAATGTAAACATGACCACTTTGCAGCTTTCTTCCCTATATTAACACGCTCCATTGTTGTAACATCCTGCGCTGCTTTAGACATCAGGTGCATTGCTGGAGAACACTGTTAGCCTTGCTGGTTCCAACCTCAGTGAAAGGTCTACTGGAAATACAGCTTAATATGAATTTTTAAAACATAGTCTTAGGTGCATTTCTATGTGTGTTCATTTCTAGTCTTAATCTTAACAAAGCAGTCACACTCACAACAAAGTGCTTGAGGCATCTTAAAACTCCCGTGGATTCTAACTTTGAACATTTCATGGAGCTTCAGTTGTGCATGGAGCACAACTCTCCTCAGCGCTGACATTGGCTCATCACTGCCTTTCTTCTACAGTTTATGTTTAGCTGAACTATAAACATGGGGAGAGGGGCCGGGCGGTGGTGGTGCACGCCTTTAATCACAGCACTCGGGAGGCAGAGCCAGGCGGATCTCTGTGAGTTCAAAGCCAGCCTGGTCTACAGAGCGAGATACAGGACAGGCACCAAAACTGCATAGAGAAACTCTGTCTCAAAAAAAAAAAAAAAAGAGGGAGGGGCTGGAGCTCCTGGTCTCTGTCAGCGACGCTGTCTGGCGGCTCTGGCGGCTCGAACTGACGGTGCTGTGCGGTGCGCCGGCAGCCTGCCCTCGCCATGGGTCTCGGCACCTCCATCGACCTCCGTGTCTTCCTCCCTCTCTTCCCTGGTGGCGGTTTGGTCGTCATCCTTGGACCCGCACGTTTAGGAACTCAAGCCTGGGACAATGGTGTGCATTCCCTGTATCGTTATTCCAGTGCTGCTCTGGATCTTCAAAAAATTCCTGGAGCCATACTTATTCCCTCTGGTTTCCCCTGTGGTCAGTCGTCTATGGCCTAAAAAAGCTATACAAGAATCCAGTGCTAAAAATACAGGCAAAGTAGACTGCAAGGGTGCAGATACCATTGGATTACCCGCAAAAGGACCAATAGAGGTCTCTGATAAAAAGAAAGACTAGCGCGGTTTTCCTGAAAGCCCCTGGCTGTTTTCAAATGGACCCGGTAATATGAAGCACCTTCTTTGTCTCTTGCCTTTTTTCTCTGAGACCAGGATTCTAGATAAACAGTTTAGCTAGCTATCTGATACTGATCAGGAAGTAAATGATATTTATATTAAAAGTGTAAGTAGTTATATTTAATGACCTCACCCTGAGTTTCTTTTCATTAAGGTAGCTTTTATTTCTGTTATTCCATTTTACTAATATGAATAAATAGAAGGTTTGTGTGAGCAGACACTCAGAACTTGAAGTCCGTGGGCCTTTGCATTGTTTCGCATAAATTTGGCTGCTGTTTTCGCTTCCTGTGGGCTCTTGTGACTTGAGCAGGATGAGTCTAACTGTAAAACAGTACAGTCGATGGGATGAAGTGTGAAAGATGTAATTATTGTCCAGCACAATGGAGAGCTGATACTTAGGAACAGTTATTGCTCTGGGTTAACTGGAAAAGAAGGAACTAGGGGAAGCTTCTTTGAAAAATGTAATATCAACATCAATGTCAATCCCATAAATTCTAATTCTGCTATACTTCTATTCCTACAAATGCATTAAACATTCAGTTTAACTTGAAAAAAAAAAAGAAAACACATGAGGAGAGGATACTGGGGAGATGGGTCAGTGGTTAAACTGTCAACAGTACAGGCATGAAAAGTTCAGTTCGGACCCCCAGAACCCACATGAAAAGCTGGGCATGGGAGCAAGCGTATATAACCTCAGCAGGTGAAGGGCAGAGACAGGCAGATCCTGAACACTCCTTGGTTGTCCAGCCTAGCCTGATCAGTGAGCTTTTGGTTCAATAAAGAGACTCTGACTTTTCTGATGAGCAGAAAGTGACAGAAGAACACACCTAACGTCCTGCTCTGTCCTCCAGAGGCACACACAGGGGAGCACACCTGCACACAAGTGCACACACATATACCACATTATAATCATTAACAACAACAGGAGGAGACAAGTGGCCATGATGTGTGAATGTACTCTGGTCAAGCACTGCTGCTAATTACACACACTTTGTACCCCTCTGCACCCTCTACATATTACACACACTTTGTACCCCTCTGCACCCTCTGCATATTACACACACTTCGCACCCATCTGCACCCTCTGCATATTACACACACTTTGCACCCCTCTGCACCCTCTACATATTACACACACTTTGTACCCCTCTGCACCCTCTGCATATTGCACACACTTTGCACCCCTCTGCAACCTCTGCATATTACACACACTTTGCACCCCTCTGCACCCTCTGCATATTACACACACTTTGCACCCCTCTACATCCTCTGCATATTACATACATTTGGTACTCCTCTGCATCCTCTGCATATTACACACACTTTGCATCCCTCTACATCCTCTGCATATTACATACATTTGGTACTCCTCTGCATATTATACACACTTTGCACCCATCTGCATCCTCTGCATATTACACACACTTTGCACCCTCTACATCCTCTGCATATTACACACACTTTGCATCCCTCTACATCCTCTGCATATTACATACATTTGGTACTCCTCTGCATCCTCTGCATATTACACGCACTTTGCACCCCTCTGCATCCTCTCTATATTACACACACTTTGCACCCCTCTGCACCCTCTGCATATTACACACACTTTGCACCCCTCTGCACCCTCTGCATATTACACACACTTTGCACCCCTCTGCAACCTCTGCATATTACACACACTTTGCACCCATCTACATCCTCTGCATATTACACACACTTTGCATCCCTCTACATCCTCTGCATATTACACACACTTTGCATCCCTCTACATCCTCTGCATATTACACACACTTTGCATCCCTCTACATCCTCTGCATATTACACACACTTTGCATCCCTCTACATCCTCTGCATATTACACACACTTTGCATCCCTCTACATCCTCTGCATATTACACACACTTTGCATCCCTCTACATCCTCTGCATATTACACACACTTTGCATCCCTCTACATCCTCTGCATATTACACACACTTTGCATCCCTCTACATCCTCTGCATATTACATACATTTGGTACTCCTCTGCATCCTCTGCATATTACACGCACTTTGCACCCCTCTGCATCCTCTCTATATTACATACACTTTGCACTCCTCTGTACCCTCTGCATATTACACACATTTTGCATCCCTCTGCACCCTCTGATGCCCTGTACATTGTAAATAAGTGGTTATGTTGTCACTTAGAAGACTAAAAACATGATATTTAGGAGGAAAATTCACTTTTCCAAATGTCACAGAATCAGTACTGTTCAGATTCATAGTGTATAAGCCCCAGGTTTCAAACAGCCAACTCATGCAATGAGCACAGGTTGATCTCAGTCCTCGGGGGAGGCTTTGCCCTGGAGGAGGTGGAAATAGGGGGTAGGTTGGGGGGAAGGGGAGGGGGGGCGGGAGGGGGGGAGAACAAAGGAATCCGTGGCTGATATGTAGAACGGAATTGTATTGTAAAATAAAATTTAAAAAAAAGATTCATAGTGTAAATTCAAGACTGCCCAAACTAGAATCCTCATGCTTCTCCTCCATGAGTGTAGAAGGAAGCCTCATCCCCAAGCCTTCCCTTATTGATTCTTGCCACATCAATCACCTCAATGAATCACAGAGGCAGGGTGTGCTTAGGGAAATAAAGGTGCGTATTTATTTGCTCTCCAACAGTATTTCTTTAAAGCCTCCTGAATGCTGAGCATGTGGCAAAAGGAGAGGTTGGTGGCAGAAGCAAATTCTCTTGACAGGTTCCAAGCCTGGGAGTCGGGGAGCCAGGGAGCAGAGAAGTAGTTTCAGGACCACATAGAGCACAACTCCAGAGCTGTCTCCAAATGTCAGGAATCAGGCTACAAGAGAAAATAAGATAAGACCTTCAACATAGGAACTGACCAAATCATTTCCATGTGGCCATCCATGAGGAAGCCAGCTGAGAGAGATCGAACAACAAAGAGGGGCTGTAGTCCAGGGGAGTTGGAATTCCAGGAGAATGGGTTCGAGTCTCACGTGCATTGTAAAATTCAAAACTCAGGGCACTGACCTAGACATCCCTTTCACTGTGTCTATCCTTTGTGCTTTGACACTAGACACCATGAAGTAAATAATTTGGATAACAAATAATGCATATAGTTCTTTGCAAAATGTTTTCAACTTCAGGGTTTCCATTCTGCACATAGAGAGACCCAGAAAGTCATTTGCCCATGGCCCTTACCCAGACAGGCTGCAGGAGAATCAAAGCCACAGGAATCCTATGTCTTTGCCCTAAGAAATAGGGGACAGTTCCCTTAAAGGACAACCAAGACAAAGGCTCTTGATTAGAGACTCCCTGCCCATGAGCCTTGAAGCCGAAAAGGACTAGAGAGATGAGTTCTATCCACCCCAACCCACTCCTTACCTTACTGTGGGAGAAGGCAGAGTCTCCCACACATGCCCGGGCAGCACTTATATTTGCCCTCACACTCGCCATCCCTATTACACATATTGGGAGGATTCAGCATCATACATCGTCCTTTAAATGTTGGGCACTTCCCAGACTTCCTCCTCACTGGTGACAGAAGAACCACAGGTCACATGTCTTAAACTTTAGAACCGCATCGCTGCTTCTTTAACCCACCCTCTCCAGCCCGAGCAAGGAAGAGCATCCCCATTCACCCTCACCTCAATCACCTCCTCCCACATATGTCCCCTGAAACAGCACCTGGCTCCTCTCTAACGTCTGGCCTCCAGTCAGTGCAGGTGGCCAGCTGTCTAGTACTGAAAGGGATGGTGGCCTCCATCAAGCCGCCTGGATGCCCAGACAGTTATTGCAAAACTGTTATAGAATGGCTGCTTCAGACAAGTGCCTCTTCCTGCCTATGGCAGTACGATGCCTTGACTGGCTGACATGTTGGATTCAACAGCTCTTAGAGACAAGGATGCCTAGGAGGACCACTTCCTCAATCCCATCCCCTTTCAGTCTAGGTCTTGAGGTTCGTTCCTCTCCTCCGGGTTCCTCTGCTGGCTCACCTGGTCTGCGGATGGGAAGAGGATTAGTGCATTTGACACCACAAGGACCTTGGCAGCATCTCTGATTTCCTGGGCATTGCCAGTCTGAATCACACTGGGGTTTCTCAGGCCTAAGGCACTTGGCAGGTTTGATAGAAGGGCAGGCTCCAATTCTGATAGAATCTAAAAAGAACGTCAAGATGTTAGTAGAGTATGGAATATTCCTGTCCTAATTCCTAGACAAAGGACCACTTTCCAGAGTATAGATCCTCATCCCAGTAGCCCACAACTTCAAAGAGAAATGACCTGACTGACCCCAGGGGAAGAAAACAAAACAAACAAATGAACATCAACTGACCGGCTTGGTCAAGCAAGACGCGTAACCAGGAATAGTCACAGACTGAGGACAAAAGGCACCGAGTCCCCGTCAAGTTCTTCCTCCTCAGGGCTACACTAGCTTACACAGAGACAGAAGGGGAAAGTAGGAATCATGGCGACCAAGAAAGATAGCTGTGAAGGGAACAGACATGTGAGCTGTTTATCACTAAAGCCAAAGGCAAAAACAGAAAGGACAGGAACAGAGATCGAGTGAGACCTGAGTCGACAGGGTGGCTGAGCCGTAAAGGGGGCATTTCTGCATGCCTGGAAGCCTCACAGGATCCTCAGACCCCAGCAAGACATGGATGCTTCCAGGAGGTCCAGAGTAAGCTGAGGAACAGCCTAGAGAAGGGAAAACACCCAAAACCACCAGGAGCCCTCACCCCTCACACTCTAGGCAGTGTCGGACCAAAGTAACGCCAACTTACCTTTTTTAACTCCTTCCACAGCCCAGGATGCCAGCATCCCCAGAGCAAGGAGCACCATGAAAGGGAAGAAGCTGCTGGACTTCATGATGAAGGCAGAGTGGTTCCAGTGACCAGTCCCAAACACCACTATTTATATCTTCACCAGTAGGTGTGGTTCCTGTGGAGTGCATTTGGCCCCTCCCAGCTGCTATTGCATAGTCAGGAAGCTTTAGCCAGAGAATAGAAGTCTTGATACTACAAAAGGAGATGGTAGTTTTTCTGTTTCAGGCAGGACCATGAGGCCAGCAGAGTCACTTCCAGAGAGTTAAAAATGAAAGGAGTTGGTTTGGAAGTTGTCCCTAGAGGGACATTCCAGGTGACCACCTGAGCATTGTGAAATCTGAGAGCCTGTTCCCTGGTAGAGAAGAGCAGAAAGGGTCAGTCACAAAAAGGTTACCAGGACCTGAAGCTGAAACATAGGAGGTGGGCTCTCAGCTGAGACTGTGACATGCACCTCTCTTTCTCATGTTCCCGGACTCTCTGGGATTTTGAAACTCCAACCTATTGCTCAATGCAAATTTCCTCTCAAAATACAGATGACTCATGGCTCAACCAACTGACGATTCTTTCTGCCAAAGTATGTGCACTGCTGTTTGCCCAGTGCCTATTCCATGACTGAAACGTGGAAACAATCCCTAAACAAATGGAAGTTGTATACAGAAGGGCCTTGCCTTCAGCAAATCTCTTTGGAAATCAGTTTCCTAGGCATGAAATGACTTGGGACTGGTCCTGAGATTAAGAGTTTGAAATGGCCCTTAAAATAATGAATGAATTGCATCCCTTAATATAAGAGAACATTGAAGTGGATTGGAGTAAAGGGACAAAGTCTCTTACTCGTCACTGTAATCAACATTGAGTTGTGACGTCATTTGAGTTCTTAAAGGAATTCTTCCTACCCCTAAATCCTCTGTGGGCATCAGACGTCAGCAAAAATTATGGCTGCGGTGCCTTCAGTCCGTTGTGTGCGATACCCCGTGTGTACAAAGTGCTTCTAATTATTAGGAGTGCCACCATTCTCTCTAGAATGCAACCCAAACTTCCCTACCTGCAAGGTTTGAGTCTTGCCTCAGCATCATGTGACCTTCTTTTAACTTCATATACGTTTACTGCATCTATATAATTTACCTCCTCCCTCTGTTCCCTCCAATCTTTCCCCCATCCTCCACTCTCTCTCAAATCCTTGGCCTCTTTTTCTTTTTCCTTTTCCTCGATGGGGTGATTTCAAGACAAGGTTTCTCTGTGTAGCCCTGGCTATCCTGGAACTCTCTCTGTAGACCGAGCTGGCCTCAAACTTTGCCTCTCAAATGCTGGCCTTAAAGGTGTGTGCCTGCACCACCACCCAGTATTGGTCTCTTTTTCTTTAATTATTACTGTTCTGTGTGTATATGAACAGATATATTAACACAGCCTGCTGAGTCCATTTAGTGTTATTCATGTTTATATGTTTTTAGCCAATTGAGGGGCTTACCCATGGGGAAGACTTCCTCTCTCATTAATTGCCTCTATCTCACCATCGGGGATGGATGATATCTTCCCTTCCACAGTGGCATGTCAACTGGTGATTTCCTTGTTCTGGTCTTACTTAGGTAGCCATACTGTTGAGATTTTATGGTCCTTGGAATTTTCCCACTCATTCCTTTAAGGAAGTTTGTAGAAATTCAAAGAGACATGAAAACGCTAAGCATTAAGTGCCGAACTCCTCAAAGTATTCTCTAATCCAGGAGCCAATTGTTAGCAGATCCTTTTATGCAGAAATTATTCAGTGGTTTAAAGTTTGGTGCCAAAGAAAAGGGGGGAAAATTAACATGCACCAAGTAACTACAGTCGGAAATAAGTGTTAACTCCTAACTAGAAAACTAGCAAGACTGTAAGAGGGAAATGGAAAGCCTGGCTTCCAGCTGTGGACACCCTTACAGCTGGCTGGGGTTTCCCTCACTTCCTCCCACACAGCCCTGTACTTCCCATTCTCTCTTTCTTCCTTTCTTCCTCAGTGCCAAGAGAGTTTCCAGAATTTTCAAAGTATTTTTTCTTGAAGAGTCAAAATGAGAATTCAGCAGCTAGATCTTTCTGTGTGTGACTAATGATCGATTGTATGACTATTTGAAACCAACTCTTCCCATCAGGAAGAACCCTGTAATCAATCAGGATAGTGGTGCATGGCAATTTCTATTTTCAACATAATGGATTCTAAATCTTTAAATAATATAACGTTAAGGTTAAAAGGAGCCTCTGAAGTTATCTAGAGGATAACCAAGGACCTACAGCTACAAATCCTGAGCCAAATCTAGCAGGATTTTTTTTTCAGATTCATTTATTTTAATGTGTATTTTAATGTGTATGAGTATTTTGCCGGCATGTATGTCTGTACACTGCTTGTGTGCCTAGTACCCAAGGATGCCTGGAGAGGGCAGCAGATCCCCTGGGACTGGAGTTTCAGACTCCAGCTTTAGCTGTGAGCCACTGTGAATGCTGGGAATTAAACCTAGGTCTTCGGAGAGGGCAGCCAGTGCTCTTAACTGCTGAGCCATCTCTCCAGCCTTCAGCAGGCTGCATGCATGCGTGGGTGCATGCGTGCGTGCGTGCGTGCGTGCGTGCATGTGTATGTGTGTGTTTGGAAGATTATTGGAGCATAGTCAAAAACTCATTCATTTATAAATTGTTTATAGCTTTTAGTCTCCTATAATGATAGTGTAACGTAGTTGCATCAGAACCTGAAATATTTACTACAAAATCTAAAATATCTAATGTTTGGTACTTTACAGAAAATGTTTTGTGGTCTCTGATTCAGGCCAAACTCTCAACTTGTAGTTAAAGAAACAAGAGAACATATAAGCCCCAAGTTACATAATGAGTTAATTCTAGAATTTAAGACAGCTTCTCTAAAACAGCTGACTCATACCTAAAACCTGTTTGGTTATGGATACATCCTCTTATAACCCTGTCTTAGCCTATGATTTATTCACTAAATTGACTTCACACACTCTCTTGGCATCTGTTAAACTCTATATATCGATTCATTCATTCACACAAAAATAACTTAACAATTACTTACCCCATGCCAGGTGCTGTGCTAGGTCCTGAGGTTTCATTGAAGAAGACACATTGGGCAATACCTCACAGTCATCAGAACTTTCAAGTCAGACATACCTGACATGTAAAATGACTGGACCTCTTTTGGTTCCTGTTACTCAGCTGTGAATGGGAACGTTGCTTTTCTCCTGTGTGGGACAGATGTGATGAGAAGTAGCTGGAAAACCCACAGCAGTAGACATTGTTCTACAACTGGGAGACTGCAGACACTGGACACACAGGGAGCTATCAGTTTCTAGGTAGAGACTCAATACAAAGGGGTGGACTTTGTGACTGTGGTCCATCTTGTTCTGACCATTAGACGCAAAATCCCGTTCCATCAATGCTCTGGGTCTGTCTCTCTGGAGAATCCTGAATGTACAGTTCCTAGTAGCATTTCTTCAATGATGTATACACACACACACACACACACACACACACACACACACACACACACACAGACACACACACACACAGACACACACACACACACATATATATATATTCTTCATGAGGCACATCATCCTTTGGGCCTCAGGACACTGGCTTCAAAAGACTATTTCCAGGGTCAACAGTTTGCAACAGTTCGGTTCTTCCTCATGGTCCATCAATGTCAGCATAGGAAGAGGAACCCTGCAATGGGTGGTGCCTAGAGCAGTAGCAGGTCATTGTGAGGCCTTCACTCTTCTGTGAGTGTCCACATGCCTTTGGGGGAGCAACCTTAAATGTCGTTTTAGGAGTCCATGGTAGAGCTAGGTATGGAGACACAACTGAAATTCAATCCCAGCACTCAGGAAGGGTGACAGTGAGCTGGAGGTCAGCCTGGCTTATATAACCAGACTCTGGAGCCAAGAAAATAAATAATCCAAGTTGCTCACACCTGTAATCGCAACACTTGGGAGGCTGAGGCAGGAGGATCACCTCAAGTTGACCAATCACTAGCTGCTTAATTAGTTTCAGGTCAGGGCTTCAGAGTGAAACTTTGTCTCTATAAATACATAAACCTAAATAGAAAACTAAAGAAGAAACATTAATTTCAATACTTTCAGTAACACTTTTTTTCTTTTGGACAGAAGATATCACACTCTCATTTTACACCACATGTTCCCTTTGCAAATTATGAAGCCAGTGCAAGGGCTTATGGGTAAAGAATGCATTTCATTCACATAAGAAATGCCCATGCCTCATCCACCATGGCTCAAGACTGACCCTGACATGTCAATCAGAGACAAAACACATGACTACCAGTGAAAGGAAACAGGGAAAAGAAAATCTGAATGATTAACCTCTGTAACAAACTACAAGCAGCCAGGAGAAACATCCTCCCAAATCAGTAAAGTCCACCTCCTTTTGCCTGGACCCCAGGATGTTATCTGTCAATGAATATGAGTGTGAGCTTGTGTGTGTGTGTGTGTGTGTGTGTGTGTGTGTGTGTGTGTGTGTGTAAATTTTAAAAAACAACCATTAGAAAGGCCTGTGAGTTGAAGTGCTATGGTGGTTTGGGAAGCCCTGGGTAGGAGGTAGAAGCAGCCACACTCACCCACAAGGAAGTTGTTGAAGGCGCCAGCACAGGATGCCAGCAATGGAGATACATTCTCTAGAGTAGGATAAATGCCGCACTAGACTCAGGCAGATCTCAGGGCAAGTTCTGCCCCACAAGCACTGGCAGTCCTGGCTGATTTAGACACTGAAAGGAAATGTTAAGTTTTAAGGAACTGGATATAGGTAGTTCTCTCAGTTAAACCAGGGTGAACGGACTTATCTTTACAGATGAAGTTATACCTCAGAAGTTTCCCCACTTCTGGTGTGCCTAGTGTGAAGTGCAGGATGTGACTAGATGTTGGACTTCAGATAAAGCGAGAAATCTATGGGAGCCTGCTTAAGGAATATTAGGGAATTGATTAGGATAGAAATTGAGGAAATACACTCATGAATACAGAACTGAGCAGACAGCTGAAATCATCCTCTGATCTGACCGGGAGCAAATCTTTAAGAGGTCACATACAATAGCAAGAAGCGCCACCTCCTTCGGGCCATATAGCCCAAGGTCATGGGCAGAGCAAATACCACTGCAGGTAACTACAATAAAAACTCATATTTGCCGGGCAGTGGTGGCGCACGCCTTTAATCCCAGCACTCGGGAGGCAGAGCCAGGCGG